ATTCTCTTTCGCAAAGTCTACAAACTTTTCCAAGTCATTGTTGAAATACAAAAGAACAGAAAACAATGTTTGCAGATCGGCTTTTATTATTGGGATTTTTACTCGCAAATCTGAAACTTCTACGGCAACTGAAGAATGTAACGTACGAGAGAGTTCCCTCACCATTCCCATGACAAAGTGCTCATCTGATAAAGTGTAAGAAAGATTTTTAATTTAAAAAAAAAAAAAAAAAACAATTTTCATAGGTTCACGCTATTAATTACTTACGTTCAAAGCCATTGCAAATTACTTCTGTACTCCTGATGTTATAGAACTTTTTCAAATTAGTTATTAGTTTAACGTGATTTCTTTCACTGCTCGGGGAATATTTTTCCAAAACAAATGAAAAAACGAATAAAATCACAATTAAACAAGGTCTCTTTATTTTTCTTGGCTAAAAAAAATTAGAAACTAAGAAGATTTTATGACACAACTGCAAAAAAAATTACAATAAATTATATATAAAAGTCAGTAAAAACCATAAGAGTTCTTACGGATAACCTATTGAAATTATTCTCCAGTAAAATCTGCTTTTTTTATTATTATAAATTCGACACAAAAAATATGGATTTTGTCCACGGTCTAAGACAGAAAGATATAAAAGGCATAGATAAAACAAAATTATCGTTTTTGTACATGATAGTGCATGCCACCCGGGCAAGGAGAGACTTTTTGTGATGATTTAAGTTAAATAAGCACCAGGTATGAACTCTGTACTTTTTCTACCGAGGGCACAATAAAAGTTTAAAGTAAAGGTAAAAGTATCATGCCAAAAATCAAAAAGAATTTTACTTTAAGAAACATGTATTAGGTTATGTAACATTTATTTTGATTGAAAAGTACTATACGTGAAAACCAAATGAATTGGTCTGGTTATAAATAACGTTGCCAAGTAAATGAAAAAATATTTATTCTAATGGTAAGAAATCAACTAAATGTCATGGTATAAGTTTCATGAAACGTATTTTGCATTTAACTACTATTGTTTCTCTACCCCTACCAGAAGTTTGTATTTTTTGTGCCCTTACAACATAACTCCACTATGTTTATGATTATAATACAGAAACTTTTAGGTAAGTATCTGCAAAAATAAGAGTACGCAGCTCGGCCGTTAAATAACCTACTACCACTTGTGGAACATAGTATGCTTTTCCACATGTTATTTGTTACTCAAACTCTTTAATCAATATCTTCTATTTAAACATTTTTATGGACAATAAAAAGAAAAAGAATATTGCGTTTAAGATTTGTTCTTAATGTAAAATTAATCTTATGATACATGGTTTAATTTTTAATTTAAAAAAAAATTCTTTGCTAAGACACGCCAAATACTCACATCAGTTAGAAAATAGTCTTATACACGTGAAACATTAAAATATTAAATTTTTAAGTCCATACAATATTTTAGTAATAGATTTTGTAATAGATTTAGTAATAGGATTAAAATAGATTGCTGTTGTCTTTTGATTAACGTCTTTCAGTCAGGCCAAATTATGTTGTAAAAGAAACATTTTTTTAAATTAAAAATTAAATGTACTCATATCTGATCATGCATTCTTTATTTTATAATTAGATGTTAATTTAATCTATTCAGTCATGATACTATAGAAATGTTTCTGGTTCTGATATCAGAGTTCATAACTTATTACAACGTTTAAATCATAACTGCTCCTATGACTTAAAACCACTATTGATACGTGTCATCCTTGGTATAACAACTATAAATAAAAAATTTCAATATGAAAACTCATTTTAATCATATTCTTTGATTTTGGTGACAATAATTTATAATTAATAAAATCAGCGAGTAAATGAAGATGATATCTGATTTGGAGATCAACTTTTGGGTTCAAAAAATTAGCTATCTGAATTGCAATTGAAAATAATACCATTTTTATGTCTTTCAAAAATAGCTACAATAATATGTAACATCATTTTAATCGATCCTTTTTTCCACTACAATCATATTTTGACAGTTAACTATCTTAATGAAACGAATGATTAGTGAACAATGTAAACCACCTCTTTCAACAACAATGATTTAGGTAGCAACTTGATATTACTGTTTGTCCATATAATTTTATAGTAATAAGCAGAAGCAAAATAAATTTAAATTTTTAATTCACTTTCTACATAAGAGTTGTAAGTCTACTAGATATATAAATCATATATTTTATGTCCTTTCATGTCAATTTTTTTGAAGAATTTGCATTAGGTTAAATCTCACTGTACATAATTTTCGAGAATTTATTTATGTCAGGGTATGATGAACATGTACATTTATACTCACACAAATAGTTTAAAGTCAAACACTGATTTCAAAAGGATCACTAGCTGTTCTATTTTCATTTATTTACTAAACACGTCTATATTCGTCCATATACACTCAACATACGAAACTTCTATTTTTAGGGTATACACTCAATGTGGTACTCCAGTCTATTGAAACAGGTAAATTTATTATTCAGTATAATTAATCCTTCCATTTCTGTGGTTTTTTTTTCTACACTCGTATAGGGATGACAAAGATAGATACGAAATTGAAATTGCCATAGTTATACTCTCTCTGATCTCTTGCAGACAAGGACCAAAATATTGGTACCCTTATTTGTACAAGGCTTTTTCTTCATACGTTCTTGATCTTTAATGCATTATCTTTATCTACCGTACTGCACAAAATATAATTAAAACGTTAATATTGGGGTGGAAAAAAATTAGATTTTGCCTTTTCGATGCACAATAAATTTTACGTACACTCTGCATAACGTGTATCAATGTGTATCAGGGGGTGCTCTGATAAGCACCTAATGTACTGAGAACAAAATAATGAAATCTAATTTCGACATTTCATTTTTAATTATTTTTGATCTTCAGCATCAAAAAGGAAATAGTAATATAACAAATATTTACAAAGAGGATAACGTTCTTCACGGTGTATAAAGTATTCGTGGCATCAAATGGCGTTGATGGACTGAACATTGTCTTAATATTCATGTACATAATTTATAATAGCAATAGCTAGTTCCGAAAGACATATTCGCTAAAATAATTTTGAGAAAATTTTTGAAGGTGAAGCTTTGTTCTGTGCCAACGGTTAACAACTGATTGTTTCTGCTCCGATTTACTTCGGATAATCAACTACTATCAGTTACTAAAAATATATATATTTTTTTTTTTTGTTTATAATCAACGAAATTTCGCTTTGTTAAGTTTAAAAAACTGTTTAAGTGTTCCAGTGAATTTCTATAGCCTGTTAAAATATGCCCACGGCTACACCTAAGCTGAATGTACATATTTTTACTTGAACCAGCTTATTTTTCGACTTCCTTTTTTTTACCGAAAATTATTATGCATCGACATCGTTTCGCATGAAACAAAAAAAATAATAAAGTATAAAATCAACTTTTCAACTGCTAACAATAAATTTTACAAATACAAAGATGGATGTCAAAAATGTCTTGGAAGAAATTAGATTTGAATATAAGATCCCCAACCATTTTGATCTTGTCCACACAATTTTTTTATGCAAATTTGAAAACGTCTAAATTAAAAATGCTGTCGATAGTTTTACATTGGAAATATACAGTTAAACTGAAAAATTAAAAGATTCGAAAATTTTGACAAAAAGAAAAAAATTACATAAGCTCAACAAAAAATGTGCGAAGTTTTGTAAGTACATAGCAATATAGTAATGGAATCATAAAACTTTGTAAATTCTCACAACACAATCATTATTCTGCACCAAACTTCGAATATTGTTTTTTATATATATAAATTATTCCATAGGGCGTGAGTCTCAAAAATTGCCTTAAGAAAATAAATCACAATACAAATTGTTTCTGAAAATATTATTATGAATTTTATAGGTATTGATGTACGATATCCATAATTTAGGAACAACACAGATAATTTTTAATAAAAGCAAGAAAACAAGCTTATAACAAAAATTGATAGAATTCTTTCATATCTTCTTTACGGATTATATTCCTGAAAAAGTCAGTATTTTTAAAAGAAGATACAAAAGTTTCTTTTTTTTTTAAGTATACGTTGACCAAACCAAAAGTACAAACTAAACTCAGCAAATAAAAGTTATGAGATGGTTGTATTAACTATTTCATTAAAGATTTTTCCAGCTCTTTAATACACTAATACTATACAACATTACGCACTAAAGGTTAAGGTACATTAAGTAAAATTTATAAACTAATAATTGCCAAACATAAGTAAAGACGTAAGTAACGTAATAAAAACTTAAAATATAATCGAATTTTATGATTTTTTGATATTTTTAATATTTATTGCAAAACCAAGGTAATCGATAAGAAAAATAATTGTCTTTTCATACGACACTGTTACTTTTCATGCTATTTACTTGAGTAAAAGAATTCCTGTAGCCTCAAATAATATTTCATTTACTAACACGTAAATCTACACTTTTAAGTAACAAATATTTGCTGCCCATCGTTACTTAAAAAGTTTACTAAATTTCCTCTTTTTTATCACGAGTTAACATAAAATCAATTCATTTCAAGACAAAAAAGTTAATCTAGTTTTTAGAAAAACATTTCAACTCTGTTTGGATTTAAAAGAAGTAGCGTACGATAACTTATAAATTAATTAACTGATTATTATCAGCTAAAAAGAAATTATACTGTAATGGAAATTTAAGTTTAAAGAAAAACTTTACATCGTACTATTTGTTTTAATTATCAGTACACCAAATAAAGTGTTAACATTCTTTCATTAATTCTCTTCATGGATTTCCTTTTCTTGTTTGTTAAGTGATTTACCAGTTTCTTCGATGTTGCTAGAACTTTCATCGTCAACTGCCATTTTATTTTCAGGAACATACAAAGTGAAAGTTTAATCTGAACTGAACAATGCCTTGGCTTTTTCCAAATCGAATGAGTCGGAGAAATGGAACTTCTTGTACAAGCCCTTCTCGTGCTGTTCTTCTGGGATTGCCTCAACTATAGTGTCCCTCCCTACAACCTACAAACAAATGAAATAAAGATTTATTGATAAATTTAATGCCTTGGGTTGGAAAAACTTGATAATTATTAATTCGGCTATTTTTCAGAAATACTTGACATAATTAAGTATTAAACTTAGACGACACTAATTCTCCAAATTCTTTTATACCTAGTCTTTATTTAATGGAAAAATAAAAATAATGTAAGTACTCACTTTTACAATAATTTCATCTGGGTTGAACTCCGTGCAGTCCAGTTTCGGCTCATAGGGGTCCTACGAAAATGTCATATTATAAATTATCGTTTAACTGTAAACAAACTACAACAATTAACTTTATTTTTTATCAAAGATTTATAAAGCTGGTTGGTTACAGGATCATTACTAAGTTTAATATCCAAAAATACAGGCTGATTCTATGTGCTGCAGGACATACTAGATGGACTTAAGGATACATATCCTTTCCCCCATCATACATGCGATCCTGATTTGCCTGACGTCTACTATCCATATCTTTTAATATCTTTTTTTCTTCTTCGTCGTACATATCTTCAAATACACTTACTTAAATTCAACAATTTCAATAAGATTTTGATCAGTGCCTCAATTCCTCGACAGAGCCTAGAAAGCAACTGACGTGGTAGCAGTAATCCTACGTTTCTACGTGCCTGTGAGTGCATTGCATGTAATGTCATCGTTATTTAAATTTTTCTACTTTTGCTGTTTGCACATTAAGTTTACTTCTGCGCATGTGCACATGACAAACTTTGACTTCTGCGCATAAGTGGATGACTAAAATACGTCTTCAACTCCAAACTCTCATGCACGTCGATAGAATCCCAGCAAGTCGTCAGTGCTCTATGAATTCGAGAATTTCAATACATGTGCAAGGTAGTGCTGGTCGATATTTTTCGAAACACAAGAACATCGATACTTTTTATGTGAAACATCGATATTTTGTAACGATATTTTGTCACCGTAATTATCGTTGTATCGATACTACATGGCGCAGTATCACCAGAAAGTAAAAAATACATTTTGATAATCATTTATCTTATTCTAACGCACTGAAAAAAATTGTTGATTCTGTAAGGGGATGCTCAAGGGATACAAACCACAAAGAAAGAAGTCCGCCATGAATGGAAAAAAATGATAATTTTTGGTCATTTCATGAAAATAAAGCGCAAACATTAAAAAATTCAAATGCCATAGAGAACGAAAATAAATTACCATAAGATCTACGGTACTATTTACATCAAGATGTTTTGGTTATGACATCTCATCCTATTACGTTCTGGAACAATAACGGAAATACACCTTTATCTCAAGTGGCGAAAAAGTTTTTTTGCGTCTTAGCGACTTCCGTTTACTGTGAGAGACTTTTTTCTGAAACAGGAAATATTGTAACAGATAAACGAACGTGTTTAAGTGGTAGTCATTTACAAATGTTACTATTTTTACATTCATCATCACTTACGATTGGAAAATTTAATTTTTTTATTTTCAACTCGAACGAAATGACATAAATATGTGTAAAAGACGATGTTTTTTAACTAATTTTTTTAATATAAGATATTTATGTAAGATAAAAATAGAAAATACAATTAATTTTTTAAAATTTTTTATCAAATTCATTGGTATATAATAGCTACCCTCTTTTTATGGGTTATTGTTAATTGTAGTTTAAGAAAAACAAAACGCTTATGCTCAAAGTATCGATATTGTCAATATCGATACTATAAGCTCGATATTTTGTCGGTATCGATACTTTGCGCAATGATACGTATCGATACAAAGTATCGATACTTTTCGGTAAAAAGGTAATGTATTAAAATATAGCTGTATTGTGTATTAATATACAAGCTTAATTTTCGTTTTTTGCGTTTCAATCTCGATTTTTCATCTGATCAATATGATCCTGTAACGTTAGTTTGTTAAGAACTCGTAATGTTAAAGAACCATGTATTTCCACGTGAGACGTTTGATTATTATTTGTAACTCATAATTTCTGAAAATAAGACATAAATCCATTGGCTGTTTATTGTGTCTCGTAGAGTTTAGGAAAGGAAAACAACTGTATACAACTATTTATCTAGTGTATAGGTTTAATCAAGCCAATGCCACTATGTTTTTTTCCTCGTGTATTTTATCACATGGTACACAACAACAGGATATAAACAAAAATGTTAGTACGCGAAAGTGTACTATATGTCCTATTTCAATCCATTGCATAATACACTTTTTTAGCTTTCAACTTTCAGCGCAATCGTAACTACAATATTGGTACTGTAAAAAGACAGTGCCATGAACAAAAATGTAGTAACTACCAGTAACGTAAGCTCTGATGAAGCTTTGTGAGAATAATTTGAAGAAATCCCCTAGAATTTCTTTGCCATCCTATTCAGACCATATGGACCACAATATACTCATGGAACACACAGCAAAGTGGGCACGGCTTAACAAATTTTAAGTTATAGTTATATCAATTCCCATCAAAAAATAATAGTAACAATAGGTGTATATAAACATAAATATTACGATATTCAAAATTAAAAAAAAAACATGTACATCTATACCCTAGATATCTTGCATACCTTGTTGTTATCGCTCAGTTGTGTTTCATCGCTTTGTTTACTTAGGTAGTAGATTTATTTAAAAATGACGTCATATCTAGAGACTGAGGAAATATTAACTTCAAGAATAACACAGCTTTTTTATCGTTGTCTAAGCTAAATAAATAAGTGAAGAAAAGGTATATTTATAAATTATATAAACTTTATCTAAACGCGTCCCTATACGAAGCCGAGGTTACCTATACCTATTCTAAACATTTCGTAAAAAATATATTGCAATTAACTTGAGCAAACTTGATAATCTCCAACCGATACCTACACTTTTTTACTTACTTACCGAATGACCAAGCAGTCTGAGGAAAACTTTGCAAGGAGTCATCATGAAAGACTCTCACATACTTGAGAGAGAAAAAAAAAGATATAATTACAGAAAAAAAGGTAACAATTAGGGATATTAGGATACTTAAAAACCGTGGCAATAAGTATACGTGGAATTTAGTACTTATCGGAAAAGATGTTTTAAATTTTGTTACATGTTCTCTATGCGCATTCATATCTGAAACTGCATCATATGCAATAAAAGCTCTTAAAACAACGCTCTTTCTCTAAATACAAACAGACAATCGATAAAAGAGAACTTTCTTTAACAAAAATTCCCCTTTTTTTCTGTAACATCGACTCAGATCAATAAAACACGTGGGCAATTGTTTTTTGTTAAGCTCCACTACCACGCCCTCGATTTCTGATGACTAATTTCTAATTTCGATGCCCATCTTTTCGGAAGACCTGTAATCAGCACTAGGCAGTTAAGCTTAGGAAGATAACAGGACTTCTCCTAACTGTTCTGTGTGAATACTGCGGGTATTGAGGATGATGTTTTAATTTTTACCCTTTTTTGTACTATATACAAATAATATATTTAGTTTCATTAGTTTAGAATCTCGTGCAGTCCAGTTTCGGCTCATAGGGGTCCTACGAAAATGTCATATTATAAATTATCGTTTAACTGTAAACAAACTACAACAATTAACTTTATTNGGTGTCCTGGTGTCTCTTTTTAATTTCGGGCCATCAATTGCACGCAATACTGTGTTGGTAGAAAAGGACGAGCCAATCACGATTGCTCACTGAGTTTTTTTTTCATTCGACGTAGAAAAATTAGCTTCGATGAGAACATGGCAAAGGTTCTATCAACGACAAAAAAAGAATTTTGTGGTCATACGTGCACGTAAATAGGATGTTTAAATTAGGAAAAAAAAACTTTTATCAATTTTTATAAAAGTAATATAAGTAGAGTAACAGTACGTTAAAGTCTTTGTTACAGTACGTTAAGAATGATTACTTTAAGTGCACTATTTAGCAATGCCTTAACACTCCAATCTATATACTCTCTCTGTTTTTCTGCGGACAAGGACAAAAATGCGGGTACCCACACTTGTTTGAAGCTTTTCGTCACCATGTCATTGATCTCTGAAGTATTGTCTATTTCTTCCTTCCAGCACAAAATATGGAATAAACGTTAATATTGGGGAGAGGGAAAACTGGATTGATTTTTCCTTCTTGTTGCACGTAAATGCTGCATACATTCAGTATGGCCATCCTATTTTTTTTACCCTCCACTACGGAGTTGTGTCTCTAATGTATTCATATTAGGTTTTTTCAAGGCCTGAATGTTTTGTTGTTGTTTCACGTTTATTTTTTAACGTTAAATCAAGCAGTATATTTTTTTAAGTTTTAGGGCATCGATCGAATGTATACTTTTTCGTTCGTATAGAAAATTGTAAATTAGCTTTTCGTTAGTCCGTGTATATTTTTCTGTTTAACGTTTATCTGGTGACAATTTTGTCGGAACGTGACACGTAGTTATTACTTTCCTAAATAAACATAAAAGTCAATATTCGAATGCATAGCGTTTTTGGCAGAAAGCTAAAGATAAACAATACTAAAAGTACAATTGTTTTTTTTGTATTTTCGTTAGTCTGTACGATCCACAAATGATTGCACCTACTTTTTGTAATTAGGAGTTTGACTGTGGACAGTACTTGAAAATATAACCCTTTACCATGAATTAACTATTAAAATAACAAACAAAATTAAAACCATTACCTCCACGAAATTATACGTATGTAGGTCCAAAGTAACTTCATTAACAGTAAGCAAAGGATTCGGCATTGTTTATTGCAAGAGAATCTTATCAGGATTATAGCTAGTAACAAAATTTTGTTTTAGCTGGCTTGGGATTTTTGAAATCACCATAAATATACAAATCGACTATTAAATAGTTTTTATTGATGTAATGACATAAAAATAATATTAAATTTTTATATCTCTAGGTTGGTTCCGTTAAGTCAATGGAACTCTATTTTTTTTCTTGTTTGTAATACTATCACAAAATAAGCAACAACAGTATGACAGTACAAAGACGCATAAATATACTGTTTGTAGAAAATAATTGTTATATAATATTAATACATTGCACTCTGTACTTGTCTAAACTTAAACCTTAAACATAAATGAGTGTTGGTTGAAGCTGTAAAAATATAGTTTATCGTTAAAAAATATATGAGTAAAAATCATTAAAAAAGAGTCATCTTCTTGACTACCACCACGCTACGCCCATCTGGTACCGTAGTGGCTCGTTACACCAACCAATTGCAATAGTGAACGATACAACGTGTCTACACTAATAAAAATACATCTTCT